AGAGAGAGAGAGCTGATTTAGTGTAAGATCGAGGAAGGAGATTTTAATTGTTTGAGGAAAAGGTAACTGAAATCTGTGTGTATATAGAGAAGAATTAGCAGGTAAAGCAGGAGAATTTGAAGGTATGAGAAAAATAGGACCTATTATTTTGGGAAAAAAATAAATCCAGCAGGAGACAAGAGTAAAAAGGATTAAGATCAAAAGAAAACACAAGGAGGGACTCTTTCTCCTTTGGAATGGCTGAAGATAATGAGGATATATTGTGAATAAGTGTATCCTGTTAGTCTGTTGAATAAAATATTACATGATTATAATTTCTGAGTTATATTTTGTTTCATTGGCTAATCTGAAAAGTAGAAATGAAAATACCATTTTGAAAATCTTTTCTCCCTGACAACCAACAAATTCTTAATTCTTACATATAAATTTTATATATATAACTGTATATATAAAAGCAAATATTATATATATTTGTATAATATAAACCTTTTTCGGGAAAAATATTATGTAAATGGTGTTACTATGCAATTTTAAAAATTAGTGAACATGACAGCTAATACAATTAAAATTAAAAAGTGTAAACCTGGGGCACCTGGGTGGCTGTCGGGCATCTGCCTTTGGCTCAGGTCATGATCCCAGGGTCCTGGGATCGAGCCCCGTGTTGGGCTCCCTGCTCAGCAGGAAGCCTGCTTCTCCCTCTCCCACTCCCTGTGATTGTGTTCCTTCTCTCTCTCTCTCTCTCTCTACCAAATAAATAAAATCTAAAAAAAAAAGTGTAAACCTTTCTATAAGATCATTTAAGCATGAAGTCTTCTGAGTCAGCAGCTTACTCATACTGTTACATAAATGAATAAGCCCAAAAACAGGAATAGCTTCTTTACACACAACTTTAGTTTTCTTTTTTGCTTAAGGGATCTTGGTTAAGACAAGGCAAACAAATAAAAAACCATTTCAGCCTGAATCATCCAGAAATGTATTGATGTATACACACATGTGTACTCACGTAAATACAGCCATTACAGATAATTTTGAAGACTGTTCTTTTTTTAAATGAGAAAAGCCTTTGACAATAAGCAAATAAACCATGGTTGATTCATTCCAGAGAAATTCCCTACGGTTTTCAGCGGTATTCGGTGGCAAGCTAGTGCAGAAAGATGTTGTTGAAATATTGCATTGAAGAGCACACACCATGCTGAAGAGAAGCAGCTCCTGTGGGGGGACAAGGCATGTGCCAAAAGCAACATTCGGCCCTTGACCAACCCTGAAAGCTCTGAGCGCGCCCTCCGTGGCTGCAGAGCTCAGATTTCTCAAGGATATTTCATCCAGCTTCTTTGTGCCACTTACGCTTGCATCCAACTTTAAATGCACAAAGAGGTTTTTCTCTTTTTGCTCTTTCTTTTTATTGTATCTATATGAGACGATCGATGCTAACTAAATTTACTGTAGTAATTGTTTTGTAATATATGTAAGTCAAGCTGTTATGCCGTACACCTTAAACTTATGTGGTGATGCATGTCAATTGTATCATAATAAAACTGGGAGAAAAAGCACAAAACTAATTATCCTTCAATGATAATAATAATAAATGCACAAAAAGAAACAGTGACCGTGTGGTTCTGCCACCTAGGCAGTCCATTAGCATTAGATTAAGGCTTGATACGACTTCTGCCCGGAGTGTAGGTAGGAGCATAGGAAAGGTACAGCAAAGCCCCTACACAGGTGTGACCAGCCAAAGCAGGATGTCAATAAAAGGGTTACCAAGAGATTAACAAGGCATGCCCTTCTTTCACCTGCAGGTCCTAGAGACTCCTGAGAGGGAGACCTTTTGGCAGCACCCTGTTGTTGTCTTCTGGCACTTGGAGTGATGCTGCTGGAGGTGATGATGACTGTCAGATTGTGAGGGACTGGAACCAGCGAGAGCAAATAAAGGGGCCGAAAATGGGCTCCTTTTAAGTGGGGTTGCATGTTAAAACCGGAAGTGCCCCACACTCCTTGTTTTGGAAGATCTGAAGGAACTTACAAGTCCTTTGGCCAATAATAAAGGAGCAATCAATTATAGTGAGCTGAATTTTGAACAACTCTGAATTTGCCAACATACATTCAACAGCACTTTCCTCAACTTGTGAGACTAATATTTAAAGACTGTGGCAAATCCAGGAGTTTGCCTCAGAGTTCTTAGCTCCCGGGAATGCTTTCTGCTCCAAATAATGACACTTCACATGGTGCTAGAGGGTTCTCTCAAAGCATATTTTTCACATAGAACTTACTAAAACCCAGCACATGTACCTCATCATATTACTATCTATTTTGTTTAGGGCACATAAATGGAACTTTGATTTCGAGTGGAAGTTATTGTTAGCTATTTGTTTTAAATTCTTTTAAAGGAAAAATGAAAGACACTAGCTTTTATTCCCCAAAAGAAAGTTTTTGTCAAATGTTCAACATACACATTAAGTTATAATCATTATATATTTCCACCTAATTTGGTTACAAATGCAATTCATCCAAAGGGTGATATAAATTATAACTTTTTGTCAAAATGGAACTAGAAAGGTTAATCATAGTTTATGGAGACTTTATTAGTTACATTCTACTACATTTTATAATAATATATTTCTTTGTTTAACCCTAGAACTTTCTCATTTTATAATATTTAGATATAGATATTATTTACTATATGGATAATTCAGAAATTAATTTGAGACTTTTTTTTACTATCATTCCATTCACTTTTACTTCATAGTGTTGATGAAGGTAACAGTGATTCTACAATGTCTCCAGGACAGTGTAGAATGTTATAAAAGGAATTCAGAGAAATAAACATTCTTAAAATGTTTATTCAAAATATGAATGATAGCCATGAAAAATAAATGCTGTCAGAGTATTCGAGATGACAGGACACAAGAAAGACCTACCCCAGGGTGCATCTCACTGTCTTCAATTGGCATAAAGTGATTCACGCAATTCTGTCAGAGCTACAGATTATATAGCATTATGAAATGAGAAAGTGAAATTATGTCACACAGAAACTTTTATACCTGCTTAGTCAAAATAAAAGCATCTGTGAAATTTGTGAATGTCTATAACAACCCTATTAACAATTACCAAGAATGGCAAACAAGGGAAATCTTTCAGTGATGGAAATAGCCTGTATCTTGATTATGCTGATAATTATTTGTGTATAGATTTGTCAAAATGTACACTTAAAATTGGAGTGTTTTCTTATATGATAACCATACCCCCATAAATTTCACTTAAAAATGCTCTAATCTTTTTAAAGATTGCTGTATGATTTTAAGGGGAGGAGGAAAGAAGTAGCTTAGCAAAAAAAAATAGAATTATTAAGTTATTAATGAAATTATTAACTATCTGGAAAGAAGTGGTTTAGTAAGGGAAATAGAATTATTCAATTAGGAAGTGTTCAGTTTAATGAACAATGTCATTTTGATAAAGGCTTTAAGGAGCATTTAAATAACTTTGACTCTAATTTTTTCCTATCATAATTTCCTAAAATATGAAAAGTTCTGCCTCCTAAAGAGGTAAAGCAGAGGGCTAGTGTAAACAAGAATAATGCATAACTGTACTGGATTGAATCATGTCCTTTATGGGACAAAACATGTTTTTTTAAGATACATATATTTCTTAAATAGTTTTATTTGAAATATCATTACCGTTAAAAAATTCTTGTTACAAAGCACTTTATCATCACAAAGTTTTGTGTTTTACTTAAACTACAAGTATTTATTTCTTCTGAACACATCACTGACTTTACCGAAGGATAAAGAAAGTCACAGTACTCCAAAGCCTGAGAAGAATTGGCTTCATTTAAAAATCAACTTATTGGGGTGCCTGGGTGGCTCAGTCAGTTGTGCGGCTGCCTTTGGCTCAGGTCATGATCACAGGGTTCTGGGACTGAGCTCCACATCAGGCTCTTTGCTCAGTGGGGAGCCTGCTTCTCCCCTGCCTGCCATTCCCCCTGCTCGTGCTTGCTCTCTGCCTCTCTCTCTGTGTCAAGTAAATAAATAAAATCTTAAAAAAAATTAAAAATCAACTTATTTCTAGAATAGCTGAAGAGTAACCGTAAATGATCCACAGAATGCCTTTCACTCAGCATGTTTGTACCTTCAAAAAATTATTTTCAATTTCTATGATGTTCATAATCCAGACATATAAAAGACATTATCACCTTCAAATATCATCAGCTTTAAATATTACTAAATCAGAGGAATAATATAAATAAAAACCATTAATGCAGATTGTTGTCAAAATACTGTATGATCCAATAATTCCGCTACTGGGTATTTACCCAAAGAAAACAAAAAACATTAATTTTAAAAGATATATGCACCCTTATGTTTATCACAGCATTATGTACAATAGCCAAGACATGGAAACAACCGTGTCCATCAACAGATAAATGGATAAAGAAGATGGGATATATATATATATGTGTGTATATATACAAAGATGAATATATATGAATTATATATATACGAATATGATGTGGAATATTACTCAGCCATAAAGAATGAGATCGTTGTGACAACATGGATGGACCTAGAGGGTATTATGGCTAAGTGAAATAAATCAGACAAAGAAAGACAAATACCATATGATTTCACTTATATGTGGAACATAAAAAACAAAATAAACAAATAAATAAGCAAACAAAAAGCAGAACCAGACCTATAATACAGAGAACAAACTGATAGTTGCCAGAGGGGAAAGGAGTGGGAGGATGGGCAAAAATGGGCAAAGGAGAGAAGGAGATACAGGCTTCCAGTTAAGGAATGAATAAGTCATGGGAATAAAAGGTACAGCATAGGGAATGGTCAATGGTATTATAATAGTACTGTACGGTGGTAGATGGAAGCTACACCTGTGGTAAGCATAGCATAATGTATTGACCTATAGAATCACTATGTTGTATGCCTGAAAATAATATAACATTGCGTGTCAACTATACTCAAATCACGAAAAAAAATCACACTTTTTTGCAAGGGGTTTGCCGCCAGAACACAGGTGTCGTGAAAACCACCGCTCAACCTAAACCAAAATGGGAAAGGAAAAGACTCACATCAACATCGTCGTCATTGGACACGTAGATTCGGGCAAGTCTACCACTGCTGGTCGTCTGATCTACAAATGTGGTGGGATCGACAAAAGAACTACCGAAAAATTTGAGAAGGAGGCTGCTGAGATGGGAAAGGGCTCCTTCAAGTGTGCCTGGGTCTTGGATAAACTGAAAGCTGAACGTGAACGTGGTATCACCATTGATATCTCCCCGTGGAAATTCGAGACCAGCAAGTATTACGTGACCATCACTGATGCCCCAGGACACAGAGACTTGATCAAAAACATGATGACAGGCACATCTGAGGCTGACGGTGCCGTCCTGATTGTGGCTGCTGGTGTTGGTGAGTTTGAAGCCGGTGTCTCCAAGAACGGGCAGACCCGTGAGCGTGCCCTTCTGGCTTACACACTGGGTGTAAAACAACTAACTGTTGGTGTTAACAAGATGGATTCCACTGAGCCACCCTACAGCCAGAAGAGATACGAGGAAATCGTTAAGGAAGTCAGCACCTCCATTAAGAAAATTGGCTACAACCCCGACACTAGCATTTGTGCCAATTTCTGGTTGGAACGGTGACAACACGCTGGAGCCAAGTGCTAACATGCCTCGGTTCAAGGGATGGAAAGTCACCCGTAAAGATGGGCATGCCAGTGGAACCACACTGCTTGAAGCTCTGGATGGCATCCTGCCACCAACTCGTCCAGCTGACAAGCCCTTGCGTCTGCCTCTCCAGGACGTCTACAAAACTGGTGGTATTGGTACTGTGCCTGTGGGCTGAGTCGAGACTGGTGTTCTTAAACCTGGCATGGTGGTCACCTTTGCTCCAATGTTACAACTGAAGTAAAGTCTGTTGGAATGCACCATGAAGCTTTGAGTGAGGCTCTTCCTGGGGACAGTGTGGGCTTCAATGTCAAGAACGTATCTGTCAAAGATGTTCGTCGTGGCAATGTGGCTGGTGACAGCAAAAATGACCCACCCATGGAAGCAGCTGGCTTCACGGCTCAGGTGATTAT